TACACTACACTACGAATTACGTTTACATAACTTAAATAATTCTAGAGTATTTGACGCATGAAAATAATATTAGATTTTGATAAAATTCGAGTTATTTAAAAAACCTTTAGATTTAGACACTATAAATCTTAGTAAAACAAACACTTATTTTGCTCAGAGAATCCAAAAATGCAATAATAAATAGGGTATTTCATTTAGAAAAACACAACATTGATACTTTTAGGGCTTTTGAGACATTCTGTACATTACAAAAATATTTTTAAAATGTGCACCCGATGGGCGTCAGTGGATTCATCAAATAATAGTTTGCAAGAAACAAACGGGCGAGCCGCAAACGTATAACCCTGTATAGTAATTTCTAAAAAGAAACAGTAGAAACGCCAGAAAAACGCGCTTTTTCAACCATCAACATCTTATTTTGCCCTCTTTGGATGATGGGTTTTAAGCAGAAGGTAACACACCAAACCAAGGCTTCGTCGTCCCTTCCCATACTTTCACACCTGTTTCCATTGGGGGAAAACTGCCACCAATATATTCCCCCTTTTCCCAAGCCAAGTGTTCGACTTAGGGTTCCTCGGGGTAAAGTCGGAGGATTCCCAGAAGAAAAGGTACAGAAAGAACCGCGGTTCTCATACCTGCTCGCAGCTTTGTTAAATGTATCAAGCGACCAATTGAATATTTTTACTTTGTGGTGGTCAGGACCGGATTCTGTCGGAATTGTTTTTCGGTTTTGCTGCTTGAAAACTATCGATTTCTTTTAGTTTTTTAAAGAAAATTTGTCAAAGTATCAAAACTTTTTATTTTTTTTTGCGGTTCATGCACTAATCCTCTTTCCTTCAACATTTTGTGCTCTTTGTAGAATATTTGCGCTAGTTGCCACACATTTTTTTCCGAGCATTTACAGTTCTTATTGTAAATGTGCCCACCAGTTAATCAAACTAAGCACATTTTTCGCTACAAATTTGGTTTGCATGTCGCATTGACCAGAGAAGAATTCTACCATTTCATCCCTTGCTCACCCGAAACAGTCCTTTATGTTCGCTGTCAGTCAGAACCTTTTCGTTTGTTTGAAAGCGGCATAAATCTTCCCTTTTCTGGCTTAGAATTCGAATTTTGGCAGTTGAATGCGAAGGGTATTAATGTAGCGCAGCAGGAAGTTGACGACTTCAACTAGACTTCGTAACGAAATAATTAGAAGAATAATGGGCACAAAGAGGGGTTTTGTTTGCTCTGTTTTGTCCATATTTATACTTACCATAAATGTCGTGCTGTTTTCCTAATTGAAAAACTGTTCTGTCGAGATATTGGGAAAAGTAACAGAACCTGCGGCATTGCAGGTCATTTTGCAGAAAAATACAGCGACAACTCTTGTTGGCGCATGATGAACATTTAATGAACCAATTTTGTTTTGTTTGTCTTAAGAGGATAATTGGCTGGCATCCGCTAAACCGCTTCCTTTGGCTTTAGTCAGGCATAGCCAGTCGATCCGGACGGCGATTTCTAGGAAACCATTAATAAAAGTCACCGGCAACTAAAATTGCAGATGCCAAATTCTGAGAATGGTCGAAAAGGCACAAAACATTGGCAACTCCCACAGTCAAGTGGCATTTTTCCGGATTCCATTTAATCGAGGGCTCAAAAACGGCATTAACGTCCGCCGGTTATTTATGAAAAGACCCAAGAATTTCGGTATTCAAATGGTTACTGTTGAAATTTTAACAGGTCTGAAGCCGGTGAAGTTGAGATCATTACAGAATTATAGAATTATTATTATAGAACGTTTATCCAGTCCATCCGATGTGCAGTTTCGGCCGAAAAACGACAAATTGATCGTTCATATTGCACACCGTTTATTCGCGATACCGATAATGTTCTAAACTAATGAAATACATGTTCATTAATTTCATATTTAGTATCGATATGCGTTTCTTGCAACCTAATTAATACATGTTGATGGTGGTTCTCATAATTCGAATTTACCATTTTTGGAATATTCATGACAAAATCACTAATAATGCCGTTGCCGGATTGGCACATTACAGAATGTGAAAATTATTCTGAATAAATTAAAAATCAATTATCATAAATTGGTGGCTTGTTTCAAACTACCGTAATAAGTAAAGGTGCGGTTATTTCAGCTGTTTGAACGGCACATTTTTCATAAAAAAATCACAAAATCGTTTTTTTGGAAGCTTGGACATTAAACAAGATTTTCCCAAAAAATTTGTATACTTATGGAAGTTTTTTGGATAGAACAACTTGTCCTTTTTAGCAGGGGCGGATCCAGCTTTAAAGTCAGAGGGGGGGTTAGAGGGTCTTCTGTTGTCTATGAAATTAGAAAAATGATCGTCTTTCGTGCAAGGGTGGCGCAAGATTATTGCAAAATTTAATGTTTTTCGTCCCGTTTTGCATGTTTCTCGGAGGCAAAATGAGCAAGAACGCTCGTTTTTACATCATTCCAGAGATAACTAAATGGCCTTTATTCGAAGTTT